CCCAAGTCTGAAATTTCAGATGATGTATTAGTTGTTCCATCTTCTATTAGAGTGCGAAGCCATCTCTGATCTCCTTCGTTGTGATTGTCTTTTAGTGTTCTGAGGTGATCTATTATTTGCTCCTCCAATGAAATTGCTGATGTTTTCGCCATTGTGTTGATTTTATCCAGTCACGTCACACGTGCTATGTAATGTTGTTTATCCGTTATTTTTCTGTGACACGTGCCTTTTCTAAATTAGGTTGTTGTTCTATTTGTTTGTTTGTTGTTGTTTTGAACACGGAATATAGCTGAACTTTAATTTAACTCTATAAACAAATGTGTTTGTTTTCTTGTTTTGATCTGTGGGGAAGTATGCACACATGTTCGTGGTACTGCTGATCTTTTGGTGGGGGTAAACTGGTTTTGGTTTTTTGGTTCCAATGTAGATCAATTCGCGCGACGATTGTTGTTTATAGTGTAAATTTGATTTGATATTTGCTTTTCTTCTAAACACAGTATTGAGAAAGTCTTGGTACCCCTCTGGTTTTGTGTCAGTGGCGAGGTTGCCTGGTTTACCGGGTGTGATCTGATTGATACAAGGCCCTACTAGTGTCTAGAGGAGGTATCTAACCTGATACACAACTGGCTGGTAGCTTGTGAGGTGCGGTGCTGACTTTCTTTTTTTACTTTACTGTGAATTGTATTTCTTGTTTCTCCTTTCTTTTCAGTAAGGAAAAACCAGTATATGTCTATTTGTGTTGAAATAAAAGCAAAGAGTTAGTATTCTTTTGGGTTTAATAATACCTGTTATTTGTCCTCTCCTTGATTTTGGAAGGTAACAGTGTAGTATTTCTTCTTGGTGAAGGTTTCCCTTAGGTGTTTTTCTTGGTGTTTCTTGGAGTGTTTCTGAAAATTTTCAAAAAAGGAAATTTTTGGAAATTTGTGGTTTTTCGGGAAAGAGTTTTTTTTTATATAGAAGAATCTATTCTAGGTCAAGTTTAAAACAAATTATTAATATGGGAATGAATTAAAGAAAAAAAAAAATGGTCAGGAATATAAAAATAGTTTAGATTTTGCTTAGATAAATTGTAGTGATAAACTATAGGTGATAATCTTTAATATCAAACTCCATAGGTGGATAAATAGAAAAGAGAGCAACCTTTTCATTTCAAAAGTTACATTTAGAGATATTTGTCTAATACAGGTGTTCAAGACAGTAGAATAGTTTATGCAATACAATGTATTATATATTATTTGTTTTCTGAAAAGATTTAATAAACAGTATACACTTGTTTAACTACAAAAAAAAAAAATATTAGTTCAAAAACTTTTGTATCAAACTGTATATATAATATTTTGATAATATTAAATATTATTGCAATTATAGACTATAACTTAATACTAACCTATTTTACTTATTTAATTCAATAATACAATTAATATTCTTGAAGTAAATTATATTTTTGAAAGGATTTATTTAGAAAATAGAAATTCTATCACTAGTTTTAAATTACCTTAATCTATTAATCTAATTTTGAAAAAACAGAAAATAATTAACAGAACTGCTTTAAGATATCTTTAAGTTTTCTTTATTAAATTTGACTAAAACTAATTATAGATTTGAAAGAAGAGTCAAGCAAGATTAGTTAAGATGATATATAGTTTAATCTGTAATATTAAATGTGATATTATTGTTTTTGTGTAATATGATTATGATATTTAATTAGAATTAGATAAAAATTTTTTTCTATACAATTCTTTTTTTATATAATCTATTTTAATTTCACAATTATTGAAAAGAAATTTCATTTTATGCAATCTAATTAAACTTTTTACAATATATTTTTTTGTAATTAGGTAAATTTAAACCCTAGACCTTTTTCTAATAATTTATAAAACATTATTACTATGCTACAAATCTATAGATCAATTATTAAAATAAACTATAGTAATAAATTATAAATAATAAATTTAAATTCTTCTGAAAATAAATAAAATAAAATAACTTTATTTATTTTTTAAAAATCAAAAATTAAATAAACAATAAATATTAGATTACAAAAAAATAATACAAAGGAATCTTAATTCCAATTAATAGATAAGCAATATATCATTCCCATAAATCATATCTAGAGACTTAATATTGTAAACAGATGAACTGGGTTGAGAAGATTTATACATACAATTATAATTATAATGACTCACTATAATTTAATAAATAAACAACTCTAAAAAAAACGTCTTTTATATTAACCATATGCTCTAAGATAAGAATAAGCATAAACGAAACTCAGGGAAGGTTAACTCGACAATTTCCCTTAGTGCGTATATCAAAGGACTTATGTTTTAGGAAGCCCAAATCTCCGCAATCCCCGAGATCGTCGTATTCTTGCCATCTATGAGTTGCGTAATATGTGCATAAACCGGCCTTATACCGATATAAAAAATGTCTTCAACAAGTGCACCTCCACCTTCACATTTAAAAATTTTTGACGTGAAGAAATAGCTGGTTTGTCTTTTCTAGAGATGACTAAAGATGAATTTCGTAAATTGGATTTACATTGGGACCAGCAAAGACACTTGCAAAATTCATGAATGCCTTAATGAAACAAATCACATAGTATAAATTCAATAGAGTAGATATCAAAAAATTTAATTAAGGTACTGTGCACGTCATGGAAAAATGTTTTTTGTTATTTAATACCTATAATTTTCAAATAAAAAAAACGTGCGCGTTCGCAATTGTTCACGCCGATCACTTGGACAAGAAATTTTCGCGACCTAGGATCGTTTAAATTTGCCAAGTAAAATAATATACAATGTAACTGATTTTTTACCTGAAATAGTAGTAGTTTATTCACACGAAAAAAAATAATTCATATTAATATGTACCAATCCTTCATTAATAAAATATACAGTATAATAAACAGAATAAAAATATAAAAATGAATTAATCTGGACAATGTACAGGACATCCTATACATAAATTGTTATTATTATTAATCGTTATTATCACCACTACCATTATTATCTTGGAAAAATTAAAATCATCATGTGATAGTTGTGGTGTTGGTCGTGATGGTCGTAGTTGTGATAATGGTTTGTTTTTTTTTTTTCGATATTTTATAGCTAGGGGGATTGGGTCTTCTTGTGCGAAGATTATATGGTGGTGGTGTTGTTGTTATTATTATTACTGGTAAATAAGAAGAAGAAGATGATGATGATGATGGTGTTGTTGTTATTGCTGGTGAAGAAGAAGGTGTTGTTGTTATTATTATTGCTGGTAAAGAAGAAGATAATGATATCGTATTATTATTATTATTATTGATGTTATTATTGCTGTTATAATCGTGATCAACTCGTTTTCTTTTTTTTCGCTGAATGGGATCACCATCGACGTTAAAAAAGGTATTATTGTCGTTGTTAATGTCATTATAATTGTTATGATTGCCGTTTTCGTTATCACTAATATCTTCGAATAGAGCATCATAACTAGGACCACCGTTATTATCATGTAAAAAATCATCATCTTCATTAACCGAATCTTTATCCGTTTCCCGGTTATTTGAATTTTGAATTTTGATTATTTACTTTTTCTTGAATTTCGAATAGTTGGTGCCGAAGACGCGATAGTTCATCCTGAATGCGAGCTTCTTCTGCTTCACGGACCAAGATATCTTGTTTATAATTTCAGAAGAATAATTAAGAATATTAAATATTAATATATAAATGCAAATAAATGGTTTACTTACTATCTTACATTCCGAGATTACATTATTACAATAGTCCTTGAAATTATAACGTTGCCGTTCCGAATAAATCTATTATAAGGAAAGCAGTCATTAATGTTAACAGTGTGTAATTTTTTATTTAGTGGTAGGGCATGCCACAAACCAAATGGGTAGGCATGCCAGGAACCAAATGGTTTGGGAAGTGTTGTTAAATGGCTTGTCCATTGGTAA